GACACACACACACACACACACACACAGAAACACACACAGAAACACACACACACACACACACAGAAACACACACAGAAACACACACACACACACAGAAACACACATACACACAACTGGTATTTGCTGGACGTTCAGAGTTCATCTCAGTCCAGAACCAGTGGAGGTTCTGTTCACCTGGAACCATCCAGGCCTCACTGGTTTGGACCTTCAGAACCGCTCACGCTGGTTTGTCTACTGTGATACCAGAAGCCGTTCAGAACCAGGACCTGGGTCGGGTTGCTGTGGAGGAGCAGAACCTGGAGATGCAGAGCTGCGCCTCCAAGCTGGCCGCCATCAGGGAGGTTCTGCTGCGGAGAACCATGAAGGTGGCCTTCTTCGGCAGGTCAGAACCGGGTCAGCATCGGGTCAGGAAAACTTCAGCTGGAGCGACCCGGGTCAGAACTACCTCCCACCAGCGGGGGGCAGTGTTCTGCCAACATGTTGGATTTCTGGTGATCCAACATGTTGGAGGTGGCAAGTTTACTTAGTAAAACTTCAAAGCACAATATTCATGGTTAGATTGTTTTGTTACCATAGCAACAATCTGATGCTGCGAGTTTAAACTCCTCCTCCTCTCCCAGATTAAATCCAACACAGAAGCTGTTAGAGCTGCTGATGGTTTTAGCAGCTAGAGGGGCCCCTCAGTCAGACTCTGCTCCAGGCCTCATGCAGCCTTGGACCGGCCCTGCAGGATGAGTTAAATCCTCTGCTCTGGGCAACAAACGGGAGATTTAATTAAATGCTGCTAATGTGGCTTTAGCAGCTCTAACATTTCTGTCTGTTGAGTTTTAATAAGAATCACAGAAACTGTTTTGGTTGGTCGTGTTTCTCAGATCTTCCTGCAGCCGCGCTCATTAACTCTGACTAAACCAGTGTTTCCATCCCTGGTCCTCACTGTCCTACATGGTTTCCCTGCTTTAATCTGCCTGATTCAGCTGATTGCCTGTTAATCAGCCATCGACTGAAATCAGCTGGGCTGAAGGAAGGAAACACTGCTGGTGTTCAGTGAGACCCAATTAGTTCTGATCCGGCTGCTGCAGACAAACCAGATAAACTTACCAGACCAGAAGCAGACGGCACCGTTGAACCATGATGCAACTGGAGATCTGGTTTTGACCCGGTTCTCCTTGTGCTGTCCTTCTTCAGAACCAGCAACGGGAAGAGTACGGTGATCAACGCCATGCTGCGGGAGCGGGTTCTGCCCAGCGGCATCGGCCACACCACCAACTGTTTCCTGAGTGTGGAGGGGACGGACGCCGCCGAGCCCTACCTCACCACCGAGGCGTCTGCCGAGCGCCGCGCCGTCTCTGTGGGTGAACAGAACCACCGGGGGGCCCGGTTCTGACCCGGTTCTGACTGCTCTCCCCCTGTGCCCTGCAGACGGTCAACCAGCTGGCCCACGCGCTGCACATGGACCCGGCGCTGGACTCGGGCAGCCTGGTCCGAGTGTTCTGGCCCAAGAACCGCTGCGCCCTGCTGAGGGACGACCTGGTTCTGATGGACAGGTGAGGCCATCAGAACCATCAGAACAGGTTCTGGTTCTGTCGTTTCTAAATGATTCAGGAGAACCTCAGGGTTCCAACTCAACCCCTGGGGGGCAGACCTACGGGGGAATTTTCCTGCCATAATCCAAGAGCGTGCATTTCCAGTCTGAAAGCAGGACTTCATGTCCGTCTTCTCCAAACTCAAAACTTTTCCTCGCGCTCTGACTTGGTCTCGCTTATGAAAGCGATGTTTGGGACAGTAGTACACCAAACATCCACACACATAGATTCTATCTATCGATCGATCGATCGAAGCTGACGTCGCTGTTTCTCCCTACATCCAGTAGGTGGCGCAGGTTGCTATAATTGATAGTAGCCAGGTGTCCAAAGTGGGTCCTGGAGGCATCCTGCATGTTTTAGTCTCTCCCTGGTTTTACGCACCTGGATCAAA